TTAATTTTAGCAATATAATGCAAGCTTCAAGTGAAGGAACCCTTTGCTGAATCTAAGGTCCTAAATATGTTCACTTATTGTTTCCAGACATTTTATAGTGTTATGTGTTATATTTATGTGTGAATTCCATTTTGGTTCAGTTGTTACATAAGATAATTGCATTAATTTTGTTTCAAGTTTTGTCTGAAGGAAATTTAATTTCTCCATCCTTTGTTGAAGTACTCTGGCAACTTATCAACAGTTAAACATGTTGAATCTATGTTGGGCCTATATTCTATTCTCTATTTAATTAAGTTTATTTATATGCTAAGCCATTTCCCAATATCACACAATATTGATTATATAACCATATAGATAACCATACAGTAGGTCTTAATATTATTTAAGGTAATATTTTTTCTTTTTAAAACATTTTTGTTATTTTAGATATGTTTGTGTAGGTATATTTCCACATAAGTTTAAATTGTAAATAATTATCCATGACTACAAACACTTGGTTGGGGTTTTGATTTGCATTAAATTAACTCTATAGATTAATTTGAGTAAGAACCAATATCTACAGTGTTGAGTTTTCTAATTGATGTACATGGTAGTTCTTTCTGTTTACTTTGCTTTCTGTCATCAGTATAATGTAACTTTCAGTATATACTGCTATATTTGCTTCATGCATACTAACTTCTTTTTTTTAAACTGATGCCAGGGGCCTGTTGTGGTACCTCAGTGGCTAAAGTCCTCTTCTTGCACATGCTGGGATCCAATGCAGGTTCCAGTTCTAATCCTGGCACCCCACTTCCCATCCAGGTCCCTGCTTGTGGCCTGAAAAAGCAGTGGAGGATGGCCCAAAGCCTTGGGACCCTGCACTCATGTTGGAGACCTGGAAGAAGCTTCCAGCTCCTGGTTTTGCATCAGCTCAGCTCTAGCCAGGCAGCTTGGGGAGTGAATCAACAGAGGAGGATCTTCCCCTCTGGCTCTCCTCCTTTCTGTATATCTGGCTTTGCAATTAAAATGGATAAATCTTTAAAAAAAAACAACTGATGCCAAAGTTGATTTTTAAAACTTACATTTACTATGTTCACTATAAACATATAGAAATAGTATTGAGTCATTTTTAATCAGCTTGTAAATGACATATCTATTTTTTCTAAGATGTTAAAATTACATTGGAATGGTCTATGTAAACTGATTTCATATATAAGTATAAATGGTTTTCTTAATTTTGTTCTTGTATTTACATGGTTTTTCTTTTCACTGCTTTATTATAATGGCTAGAGCACCAGGATCAAGGTAGAGAGTGATGGGAGCAGTCTTTTACTAACTGGAAAGTAACCTATAGGCTGTACAACCTCATTAGTGAGTTGTTTGGTTTTCTCTGTTCTACTGTGTTTTCTGGAGCGGCTCGTACAACAGTGATGCTAATTCATGCTTAAATATTTGCTATATTTTTTCAGTGAAACTATTTAGGTCTGAGGAGTACCCTTTCAGGATGTTTCTATGATGAAGAAGGATGCATCGAGAATTGACCAGCAGGACTTAGACGGTCTCAGCTTTATTGGCAGTATCCATAGCACCATAGTCAGGATTCAGTTAGGCTCTCTTGTTTGTATCAGATCTGATCATGACATTGATCTTGATTACATCAATGTGATGGAGCTTCTCCATTGCCCACTCAATCTTTTGATTATTCGTCATGGCATCCACAATGAAAACAAACATATTATTGTGTCTTCTTTATTCTTCATGGAAGAATCAGTGCTCAAGGGGGCACTTCCTGACGGCAGTGTGATAGAATTTTCTTCTGGGGTGCTCCTTTAACAATTATTGGATAGTCATTAGAATGGCCCACAGCGCCTTACACTGTCCGAAAATGAGTAATACATGGTTCTCCTCTTCCTCTTTCTTCTTCATGGCTATGAACACCATTCAGTGTTACTTCATTGAACTTTGTGGTCTTTGCTTTTGTTTCCTCTTTAGCAGCAAACGGAGCCACTTCACCTTTATGTACTACCTTAATACAAAAGACTTTCTTGAGAATTAAACTTACAAAGTTAAGTTTTGTAAATAGCCTTAGGGCGACTTAGAATCTCCATCTCATCTTTGTTGAAATTTTGTAGTTTGTAATTTTCAAGAAATGTATTTGCTTTGTCAAAGCTGAATTAGAAGAATTAGGTTGTTCAAATTCCTTTTTAAAGTATGGACTAATATGTTTTTCTTAATCAGGAAATATTTGTGACTTTCTAAGTTTTATCTGTAAAGATAGACAAAATTGTTCAGCAACCTCATTAGTTTTTATTCCAAGGACTCATTGTTTAATTCACTTTCTTTTTACTGTTTTCCTTCAGCAAATTTTAATAACTTTTGTCCTGTTCCATTTATTATTATCTTTTCTTCTTCAGTCTTTGGGTACTTTATTTATATGTTTGTTTATTATTTTTTAAAATAATGATTACATGTCCCGGTACCCAGGGATGGGGAACTGCCACATCACATCAACCCGGAGTCTCCATGTGTGCATATTCCGGGGGTTCTGGCCAAGCTATTTTGTTGTGTTTTTCTTCCAGCTGTTTTTAACAATCAACGTTTAGTTTAGATATCACCATTACAATACATATTCAATTACATTTAGCAACTTCTTTGTTGTTGTTGTTGTTGTTATTTCTTGTCTCTTCCCCCCGCCCCTATTCTTTCCTTGGGATGCAGTTCTTTTCTTGTAAATATGTATCTTCCCAGTGACTTTTCAGCAGTAATCACTCTCAGGCCTTTTTTTTTCTTCTGAAAATGTCATCTTTCCCTTACTTAGAAATGAAAATATAACTCAGGATACATTGCTAAATTAGAAGTTATTTTTGTTCAACACATTGAAAATAATCTTTTGTTTTATGACTACTTTTTCATTGCTTACCACTGCAATTCTTTCCTTGTTGAAGTGTTTATCTCTCAGAATTACTGAATTATTTTGCTGTAGTTTTGTTTTCTGGGGTCATTGTCTTTTTTCTGTGTAGATTAAAAATTATTGAAAAAAAATCTGTGCTATTTAATCATAAAGACTTGTGTCTTCCTATATTACACAAAGATCTCACCAATCAACACTTCGATGTCTTCCCTTCAGAAAAAGTTGATCCTGAGACCTAGAACCATAATTCTGGAGAATTTTTCTGTATGTTTTGGAGATTCTTCACCAAGTGAAGTTTTATTTAGTATCAGTTAACTTTATTTATTTATTTATTTATTCATTCATTCATTCATATTATTGCAAAGTCAGATATACAGAGAGGAGCAGAGACAGAGAGGAAGATCTTCCATTTGATGATTCATTCCCCAAGCGGCCACAACGTCCAGAGCTGAGCTGATCCAAAGCCAGGAGCCAGGAGCCAGGAGCTTCTTACAGGATCCCATGCGGGTGCAGGGTCCCAAGGCTTTGGGCCATTTTCCACTGCTTTCCCAGGCCACAAGCAGGGAGCTGGATGGGAAGTGGGGCTGTTGGAATTAAAACTGATGCCCATATGGGATTCCGGCCACTAGGGGAAGGAAGACTTTAGCCACTAGGCTACTGTGCTGGGACCAGTTAACTTTTTTTTTTTTTCAATCTAAGATTCATATGGAGCAGGAACAAGTTGGAGGAATTTTTCCCATTCCCCATTCAGTGATTAGTCAGAGAGCTAAAGTCCCTGGCTTTGTACAGGAACTTTCAGTCTGTCACTTGGCCTGTCACTTGGCATCATGTTTCCTGTTTCTGAGCAGACACTGGCACTTTATCCTCTGTTTCCATATTATAGCTAGTTTTCAAATTCCTAGTAGGATAGGTGCTTATTGTATAATATCTCAGTATGTCATGCAGTCAGAAACCATCTAAGCAAGTTCACGTGCCCATTTTATGTACAACATAGACTAAAGTATTTCATCTGAACCTAGGTAGTCTTTTCAAAATAAGAAGTGTTTTTTGGGGCCAGCCCAAAAGGCTCATCCTCCACCTGCAAATGCTAGCATCCTACATGGGCACAATTCTAATTTTGGTTACTCTGCTTCCTGTCTATTTCTCTGTTTATGGCCTGGAAAAACAGCAGATGATGTCAGCGCTGGCTGTTACAGCTATGTGGGGAGTGAATCAGAAGATGGAAGACCACTTTGAGCTCTTTATAAATAAGCCTTTCAAATAAAAATAAATACAACGTGGAAAAAGAAGTGTTCCTTTATATCTCTTGTGTAAAATTGATGAAGTCAAAATTTAAATCTATTACCTTAGTTGAGGCAGTAATGAATATGGACTGCATTACATCGGTCTTGACTATTTCATAACAACATTTATCAGCATGAAACGTTTTGTCTATTTTTTTTTTTTGAAAATGTCATGGATTCTGCTTTCTGTTCTATAGTGGATGTATTCATAAAAACTCTCACACATGCATTGTCTTCTACAGGAGTGTGCAAATAACTTGGGATAAAGTAGAGTCAAACCTGCCCATGTATGAATACAAGCATGGATTCTGTATCCGTGTCTCTGAAATCTGTACTGCACCTAGTTTTATTGAGGACTTTTTCAGTGAGAATTACTTTAATGTATTCTATGTAATTTTATTTAAGTCTACAATCGTTCTTGAGCAGCCAGTAAAATGGAAGATTATTTTTGCCAAACAAATTAAATTGGGGTTATTAGCCCAATAATTAAGGAACCTTACTATAATTATGCTAGTTTATTTAAAAAAACAAAAAAAATCACTTAAATCTAATTCTGAAACTTTCTGATTTGAGGATAGTTAATATTTAAAATCTATTTGGCCAAATCTTCACAAAGTCCATATCTGCCTGTTTTTCATTTGTTTTTAAGTCTACTCAAAACATGACAAAATGGAAATGCAACATAGTGCCGATTGACCAAATGAATAATTTTAAGTAATGCTATTTGTATATGTAATATAAACCCAGACTACATAATACGTAGGTGTTTCATGTAGTAAAAATGTTTAAAATTAATATGAACTCTATTTTCTATTTTTCTTTTGTAGCCTATTATTTTGTTCTTAGCATAGTTTCTCTGGATAACACTATGAATGCTGGTAATCTCTCCCTTAAATTGTTAAACCATCTTGGAGTGGCTGAAGAGTCAAAGCTCTATGAGTAAGTCAAGTTCAATGTATTTTCTTTCATGAATTAAATGTCTGTTTTCCTAAGAATACAGTCATGCATAATCCAAATAATGCAGATTAGATATCCAAAAAATATAAAAATGTTAAATATTAATAGGACTTCATATGCTTGATATAATTTGTTTTACAGAGAAAGTGAAAGAATAAAAGAGATTATGTAATTTTTGTTATATGATTAGCTCACTACAAAACTGAAATTAGTAGAAAAGCAAAACATTTTCTTTTCTTTTCATCATTTCACTTCTGCTTCAGTATTATTCCCACCCGTTTGATTTGTTACTTTTCATGTTTTCCAAACCATTGTATTCACAATATTGTAAATATGCATTTACTAAATTTTGCCAGTAGCAAAGTGATATAATTTTGGAATTTCATAAAACCACCCTCAGGCATAAAATCCTCAAATAATTTGGGTGAACTGTGATTTTTTTTCAATCTTTCATCTAATTTATATGTGTTATGTACAAGTATGCATGTATGTATTAATTAAAAAATACATATTGATTGATTTGAAACGGAGTTAGAAGTGGAGAGTTAGAAAGTGCTGGAAAGCTGGTACTGTGATAGGCAGAATCCAGGAGCCAGGAGCTTTCTATAGTTCTCCTTTGTGGATTCAGAAACACCAACACTTGGACCATTTTGCATTTTCTCAGGTATATTAGCTGGGAGGTGGGTTAAAAGTAGAGCAGCGTGGACTAAGTGGAGCATGTGTGAAATGCTGCAGTTACAGGTGGTGCACAACACCCCAAAGTGTTTAGCTTTTTCATCTGTGTGTTTGAGAGAGACGCAGATATAATGGAGGAAAGAGAAGAGAGAACTAATAGGATTAGTTCTATTCTCTGGTACAAATGTTCACAGCAATTATGGCAAGCCTGGAGCTAGAGCCATCATCTTGAAATTCAGTTCTGGTCTCCTAGGTGAAGGATAGGGACCCAAGTGCTTAAGCATCTTTGTTGCCTGTCAGAGTTCACGTTAGCAAGAAGCTAGAATGAGAAACAAAAACTCAGATTTGAACTCTGAAGTGGGATGGAGGTGTGGTAACTGATACTTTCAATCACTGAACCATTCTTTTTTTCTCTGTTTTACTTATTTTTAATGGTATGTACTCTTTTGAAAAGCTTTCTTAGCTTTTGAATTTCTTGAATGCATATTTTTCGTGTTTAATAGATTCTAAAACTAAGACATTAATTTGCTCTTAAACAAAACTGATATGAAAAAAAGTTACTGTTGATATGGTTACCAAACAGTTATGTTAGACTGCTAGAAAGTCAGTAAGTACTGGAGTTACTTTCACAAGGCTCACAGGAACATGAATAGAATAGAAACTTTTTTTGTTGTTGTTATGGATAGCTTTACCACAACTCAATTGAAATTCTAAATTGTTAATGGCATTGAAATTTCAGAAGGCACAGTTGGTATCTCAATCTTTACAACTGTCACAGTGCCTGAATTGATTAAAACATTGCTTAGAAAATTAATGTGCAAACTTATTCAACCAATATATGTGATCCAGGGACAAAACTTCTTCGCATTTATTTGTTTGTGTATTAATATTCTAAGCAATGGTAGTATTACTTCACTCTACAGTTAAAGTATTAATGCTGAAGTATTAGCAGTGCTTAGAAATATTGAAACAAAATGAAAATCCTAGCTAATACTAAATACTGCTTGGTTAGCAGATACAATTTTTTTAAAGCTTGGAATCTAGAGGTAATTATTTGTAAACATATAAGGTTGAAAAAATGTTGAGGAACTCAGCACTTGGCAAGAATACCATCACTCATAGATCACCATGTTCGCCTTTAGAAATAATATCCTGTGTTAAAAAAAATCATACTCAGTTGTTTTAAACTCCATAGATAAATACTTTAATATTAGATTATATAAGTTTAATTTTCTTAAAGTCCATATAGGTATCACAGTAAAAATTTAGTGGTGGAAGGAATTGAAAATTAAAGAAAAGCAAGTATTCATGTTCTTTCTCTTCTTTGTTTCCTGAGAGTGATTTCAGTTTACTGGAAAAGGGGAAGGAAAGGAAAGAGGTGCATATACCTTATTATTAATACATGTTACCTTTATTTTTATTTATTATTGTCAGAAATTTACTTTATTAGGCTTGAATAAATCTAACAATATAAATCACAAAAAGGGGGAAAGGAGAGAGAAACACTCCACGTGTTAGTTCATGACCCTCATATCCGCAATGGTTGCAATTCACCCAACCTGTAGTCAGGAGCCAGAAACCATCTGCAAGAACCAAAGCACTTGGAGCATCTTCTGTTGCCTTCCCAGGTTCGTTAGCAGAGGACAGGATCAGAAGCGGAACAGCCGATACAGGAACCTGAACCCCAATATTGCACCAACACCAATCTTTCTCCTTTCCTAAAGAATAAGCAGAACTTCAAGAGAAGTTTCATCAAACCCCTTTGCCTCTTTTTTTTTGAAAATTATGAGAAACTGCGTGTTATTGTAGCAAGTGATATTATTCTCCTATAATTTGTGACTTTAAGTCACTAAAAATTGTGCATATATCTTATTAGAAATAGACAGTTGACTTTTATCTATTATTTTCAGTAATGTAGTAGATTTGAATAAGTCTAACAACATATCTCACCAAATTTATTCAGATGTTTTACAAAATAATGGCAATCCAAAGTGAAATAGATAGGGTGATTATTCTCAAGGATGTCAGAGAAAAATGAGGGAGACTCATGCATAACCACAGTTGTGATGATGTGTTCCACTTACCGGGTTGCCAGAGCCGAGAGGGGGAAAAAAAGCAATGTTTGAAAGTAATTCAATATAATCAGGAAACAAGAAGATACTTTCAAAGACATGGGTATCAAAACTTACTTCAGTTTAGCAATGATGTATTCAACACAGGTCCTAGAGCCTTTGTTTCAGATTGTTCAGGAGGCAAAGGAACCACAATTTTTGGTTTCTTTGTAAACCTCATATCGTCTGTAGAACATTATGAAATAATGGGCCATTCAATTCAAATACTACTTCACCATCTTTTCAATTTTTAAGTTTTCCTAATACAAAGAGTGCTGGTCTATATATTTTACACATATAGTTCTATGAAGATAACATCAGTCCCTTCTTTTTTTTTTTTTCCTTTAAATTTTACAATGAAGAAACTTAAAATATGGGCATGAATACTCACATGTTATAATCTATCTGCCTAAATCAGTTGAAAGTATTTGATTTTTTTTAAATTAAAATATTTGTTAATGAATAGGCTGGCACTATGGCAGAGTAGGCTAAACATTCTCCTCAAGTGCCAGTATTTCAAAAGTTCACTGGTTTGAGTCCCAACTGCGGCACTTATGATCCAGTTCCCTATTTGCTATCTTGGAAAGTAGCAGAGGATAGCCTAAGTGCTTGGGCCTCTGTATCCACGTGTGCCTCCCGGAGGCAGCTCCTGGATCCTGGCTTCATATTGGACCAGCTCCAGTCATTGCAGCTATTTGGGGGGGTGAAACAGTGGATAGAAGACATTTTCTCTCTCTCTCTCTTCCAAGTTCTTGAAAGAGCCTGATGTAGCTCCTGGCTTTGGCCTGGCGCGGCTGTAGCACTGTGGCCATTTGGGAAGTGATCTCTGTGTCTCCCCCTCTTTACAAGTCTGTCTTTCACATAAATAATAAACGAAAACAATAAATAAAGTAATAATATATATTTTTAAAAGTTTCATTTTTTGTTTGCTCTCTTTTTTTTATGAAAGGAGAATTTGGGGGTTGAAGACTTATTTAGATTTGAGCTGTTGAGTTTTAGGCAGCTGTGAGATACGCACATTGATTGATGTGTAGCAGCGGATGTATTTATCTCAAACTCATTTTATCAACCTCAATCAGAGTTAAAGATTTGGTGGCCTTGAGCAAACTATTTAAAAGCTTGGTTTAAATTTTGTGGGAGAAAATCAGTTACATATTTTCATCTGGCATGCTCAACGACACTGCCATCCATGAGCAGAGATGGACTTAGAGGAAAGATGATGTTGTTTGGGTTTAGCTGCTGAGAGGATCCGGAGCAGGGACAGGTTAGAGATGGCGGGGAGCGCTGGGTCCCACTGGTTTCTCCCCCATTTCTATGTGTGGTTGCCATCTGTACTCAGGCAAGTCCTCTCCATTCTTTCCTACTTTTTCTCATGTGCTTTCCACTCCTTTACCATAGCCTTCCATCTGTTTTTACATTTCCTTCCCACCCCCCAATGCCCTGCCTTCTTTTTATCCTTTACCCTAAGTTTTATATACTTTAAAAAAGTGTAGAAGGGGATGAACAGTTGCCCATATTGCAATAAAAGGCTGCAGACTCACAGCTGTGAGGAATGAATGGAATGCAGAACAGGTACACAGCTTTGTTTCTATGTTGGCTGAGTACTTCCTGAAAGGATCTGTGGGATAGTTCAATATGGCCAAGTACATGAAGCCTTACTACAACTCTATGTACATGATCTGGCCCCTGGAATATATGCTACTAAAATAGTGCCTGTAATTTTTGCTTTGGAAATTGTATTTCATAAATTCATTAATTTCATAAATTACTCAAGTAATTAGAAAATTCTCTATAAAGTAGTGCAAGAAAAGGAGCTATCTCATCTTTGAGGAAATCAAAATTATTGAAGAACATAAAAAAATAGAAGACTATTTATCTCATCTTACATAAATATTCAACCTAAGTGCCTATTCTCAAAGGACATTGATTGCATCTCTTTTTTTTCCCAGAAAGAATTTTCAAAAAGTTTCCATGTGGAGATCCACACATTTTTATCACTGTCATTATTATTGTATTGTAATTTACAATCTAAGTTATTATAACAAATATTATGCTTGCCTTTTTCCCTCTTTGGTTGTTTTCTGTATCCCATGAACATTACATTGATTTGAGCAATTTTTACCATGTAAATATATGAACCCTCCCCCCCCCTTTTTTTTAAGGAAAAGCCAACCATTTCATGAATTTCAAGAAGTCAAGATTCTTGTGCAATTTTTCAGAGATGTTGTAAATATCTCCAGCATTGTTCTGACTTATTTCCAGAATTCAGAATTACAATGTTCCTCATGCAAATACAGGATTTGGAGTCTCATGTTAAAATCACTGACATATCCAGAACGGTAAGAAAATGAACCTTTAATTTCAACATGTTACCTTTCAAACCCCAAAACATTGCTTTGTAAAGTAATTACTTCAGTACTTTTCTTACTTGTATTTCAGACATATATAAGCAGAAATAAGGTTCTTGGATATAAAGTATAACGTCCTGAAGAAAAAAATGGTTTTTATTGTCACCTGTCTTGATCTGTCAATTAAAACGCAGATGTCTCCATTCAATGATAATGTTACAGGAACTTAGGCACTGTGGTATTATGGGTATCATTTCAAGTCCTGGCTGCCCCACTTCTGTTCTATCTCCCTGCTAACGTTCCTGGGAAAGCAACAGGCATTGGCACAGGTGTTCATGTCTTGTTTCCATGTGGAAGACCTGGAAAAAACTCCTGGTCCCTGGATTTGGCCTGGTTCAGCCCAGGACATTGTGGCCATTTTGAGAAGTGAAGCAGTGAATGGACGATCTCTCTTTCTCTCTCTGTCTCTGTATCTTTCTCTCTGTCCCTCCATCCCTCTTTTTATAACTTTGCTTTTTAAAAAGTTGAAAAATATTTTAATAATAATAATAATAATAATAATAATGTGACACCATCCCAATTAACAAATTTTAAAGATAATAGAATCAGGCAGTTCTTTTCCTTAGTCCATCTTTTCACAATCACACGTGTTTCCCACTGTCCTTGTGCTTTTTATGTGAGTACACATGTTTGCCATAGAACAACTTGTAATACCAAAAACAAAATACCTGGGAAATCCTAAGAACACTAAAGAATTCCTTATAAATTGATACGTTTTTGAATATGTGAGTTGTGTTAACAACCCACACCAGCTGAGAGTGAGTGGAAATAGATTTGTGTATGGCCACAAATCTCTCCCTCACTGAGTATCAGGGTTTTTTTTTATGTTCATGCGTGCATCTATTTGGCTTGTAAACTACATTCTATATATTTTTTTGATATAATGAGTAAAAATTTTTGAAATGTTAAATGGGCATAATAGATGAAAATGTTCTGTATTATATAGTCTGTATTCACAGGGAAGAAAAGGGAGCAAGGCTTTGAAGTGTAAGATATTTCATAATGCTGACTATTGGGATATTTATTCAGTGAGAAGCAATCAGAAGGACGCCATTATAATGACATCCTTGGGGATCATCTTATTGTTTTTTTTGCTTTTCATCAAATATTGATGAATTCTTCAAAAAGTTTCAAAATGTGTAGGATATTTCAGAAGAAAAATTAGTATCATCATTTCAGTATCATCATTTCCTAGGAAAGCATACAGGAATTAGGACTCTTGTCTTTATGGTCTATTAATGTAAAATTTTCAGTCTCTAACTGGTCTCTGTATCTGTTAGCTGAAGAGGCGATTTCCACTAAACACAGAATAGAAATTATGTTTCTTGTCCTGCAAGCTTGAGCTCTAAGGAAGCCAGAGATATTGCGCACTGATTTCCTCATGAATATGAGGAGTCTTCAAAAAGTTGGTGGAAAATGTACATTTTTTTTTATCCTTTAGTAGTTTTAATGTTGTGTATGTTAATTCAGTTTTCAACCACCTTTTTGAAGCCCATTCACAGACTAAGCTATCAAATGAGAGCAAGTATTTTTGAGATAAGTATAAATGCACTTTGGTATATTGTTGGAGCTATTACTTAGCACAAAAGAATATATTGTACTATTCGTAGAAACAACACAGGACTATATTGAGAGAAAAAGTACTTTAACTCTAATTTCATTATTAGAATTATGTGTTTTAAGGTAGTAATTTCTCTGTAGTTGCATGAATAAGGTTGTATAAAATGTTAATGTTTACAAATAAAAATTCTGTCTTTAGTGTGTCTGAAAGTTGTTATAATTCCAGGTAGTAATTGTGCAGTTATACACAATAATTTCCACATTTTATATCAATAGGTTCCACATTTTAAAATCAAGAAAACCTTAGCACATTTATTTCACTGTTATGAATGCATTATAATTATTATATAAACATCCAATAATCAATACAAATCTAAACAAAACATGACTGAAAAAAATTACAAGTGTGTATAGTTGAACTTAACAATCTGTTTTGTTTCCTCATAAAAAGGTTTGTTTTCTTTTTATCTTTGTCTTCTAATTCATTGTATATATTTTCAGTGATGCAGTTATGAGATTATATGTTTTATTTGTGGTGGGCACTGAATGTTTCTGTTCTTTACATTTCTGATTGGTTCATCATTTCGATTTCTTTTTCATTTTATCCTGAAATACACAGCTCAAGCAACAGACTTATCAAATCAGAAATACTTTAATTCAGATTTATCTATTTTGCTAAAATAATTAATCAAAAATACCTTATCCCTTGTACTTATGTGAGAGTATATCTCATTCCTTTAACCGTTTATAATCTCCTAACTTAAGGTAAATATTGTTCACTGCTACTTTCACAGTTTCCTATCCCATATCTGCATTTTTCTGCTCTGCTTCTCACTGTGCCAACTGCACAATCAGAATCCTCACCTGTAACAGTCAAATGTATGGAGCCTCTGAGCATTAGTGACCAAGATATGCAGGAAAGTGAATCTGCACTCATGAGACATTCCTATCATAATGGGGACTTTGTCTTCTGGGCCATTTGCGCTCAAATTAACTTTTCATTTTAGGCAACTAGTGAAGTGGTGTATAAAGATGAAGTTTAGTTTTCTAATATTTATATCTTAAAATTATGTATCTATCTATCTATCTAAAATTTAAGTTAGAAGTGTTTATGTCAAATACCGATTTTTTTTTTAAAGATTTGTGCACTTGTGGTTAGTATTGTGGAGTAACAGTTAAGTTGCCGCCTGCAGTGCCAGCATCCTGTATGGCTCAACTGCAAAACTTCCAATTCCAAATCCCTGCTAAAGTATTTTAAAAATTGGCGAAATATAAACTAAGTGTTTGCACCCCTGCACCCAGTTGGGAGATGCAGATAATATTACATGACCCAGGTTTTGAACCGGCCCAACTCCTGCCAATGTAGACAATTGAGGAATGAGCCAGTGGATTAAAGATCTTGCTGTACCATGGGGGGGAGGGTTGGGAGAGGGATAGGGGGATCCCAGTGCCTAAAAAACTGTGTCACATAATACAATGTAATAATTAAGAAAAGATCTTGCTGTATCTCTCGTTTTCTCTCTCTCTCTCTCTGTCTCACTCTCACTCCCTAAAACTCTTCCTTTAGAATAAAAATAAAATAAAATCTCAAAGTGACAATAGTAATAAATATTTATGCATCTAAGAGATATTTTTAAGCTTTCTTTTTAATTAGTAAATACATTTATCATCCACTGCATCCCAAATATTATTACAATCCTTACCACAATATCATGAAATAGTTTCTTTCATTTTATTTGTAAGGAAAGAAATTTGAGTGATAAATAATATTTCTAAAGTTTTGCAAGTGAAATGTGCATTTGGAATTATTTGAAACTAAACCTCTCTTGGAAGTTTTAAAATTGCTTTGGTTTTCAATTATTATTATTTTTTCAAAAACAAAAAAATCACTAATTGTCATAGTTATTTATTATTATGGAACATTTAGGAAAATTAATTTACACATACTCCAAAGACTGAGCAATAATTATTAATAGTTTGTCAACTTCTGACAGCAGCTGAATAGTGCACTTAATTATTTACATTATGTTAGAGTCTGTTATAACTTTTTGTCAAAGGAAAAAAAAGAATCGCTTATTTTGAATCTTGTTAATAGGTTTAAACTTCCCGTTTCACGTAGATAACACCTAGATTTCTGCTGCACCATAAACAGCATTTTAAGCATTTTCCCACTAACTATAAGTTTAAAATTCTATTACAATCCATTTTGTGAAATATTTAACTTCATTTTCCTTTTGTTATTTGATCCTTTCCTTTCCTGTTTACTTGCTTCAAATAGTGCATTTCTGTGCCTATTTGCATTTTAAGCAATTCTGTTAGTATATATTTCTAGAAGCTACATCAAAGATGAGAAGCATTTTCTAATCTTCCACCAGTCTCTGATGTTCACACACTGATATTTACTATTGATGAGCCCACAGTCACTACCTTGATGTATGCCTCTTTAAGTTATTTATTATAGGGGACAAAGTGAAAGATGAAACAAACACAGATATGTGTATTCCTATATTTGTTGCACAATTTTCTTATTCATGTTTTGCATAAATAAATGCCACATACAAGTCATTCATATGTTGAGTAAGAAAAGCAAGAAATAAAATGAGATCACTTGGATACACTCAATAGCAAAGTAATTATCAATATTGGATATATCATTAGTGAAATATCAAAAGTGGATAGATTATCAAATATCAATAGTGAATAGACTGCCAAAATTTATTGAAGTTGGAGATTTGGATGCACTTGGCTCTATCTGGAGAAAAAAAAAGATACTACAATACATTTGTGTGCTTACTGTATTTGAAAAATCCCTGCTGGCTGGAGATGCTAAGAGATCTTGGCTGAATCTGTGCTGTATGCTTAATTTTCTAAATAATTGGCATAATAATCTAGTTATTTTCCCATTTGGATATGTTCATAAAGATTTTTGCATGATTAATGAGAATTAGTACTGCTAACTTATTTCGAATGTTTGTTATAAAAATATGATGTGTTCTGATCCAGGTAACACTGCCCAAACTCAGCAAGTAATTGTTCCTCTGCAACAAACAGACAGGGTTCATCCCAGAGCTGCTGTTCCAGGGTCTTCCAATAAAATACGATACAGGAAGTAGAATCTGAGAGTAATGTGCACTACAGAGGTGACCGTGAAAAAAATCAGACTAAAAGTAAATTTACAATAAGTAAATTTTATTCATAATCAATGAGTTTTTAAATTCATGTTGGTGTTCAGCTTATACAATTTCTTAAAGATTTTTATTTAAGAAACTATATTGGGCCCAGCACGGTGGCCTAGCAGCTAAAGTCCTCGCCTTGAATGTGCTAGGATCCCATATGGTTGCTGGTTCTAATTCTGACGGTCCTGCTTCCCATCCA